TTTCCCAGCTACAGAAAAGCTGAACTCCACAGGATCTTACAGCTGCTGCCCCAAATTCAGCCTCTCAAATAATTTGTTTTTTCTCAATTARCACAATTGCTGTTGCATGCAAAAGGAGTGTGGATGGCTTTGACTGTTTAAAACCATAGTTATTTGGGGGAAAGCAGGAAGCAAAAGGCTTTGGAGGTAACTCAGTGCTACCACAGCACCCTTGAAAGTTCTAGAAGTGGTTTTCTGCTCCCCACTTTCTATTTGTAATGTTTTTCACAGTACTTGAATAAAGAATAAATGAAAAGTCTTCGATCTCTAAAAAGTTCTTAATTTCACAGGGAATTTTCTACTAAATATAATACAACGACCTCCCCATAAAATGTCATTTTCTGAACCAGTTTGCACATWTTTTTTTTTATAAAGAAGTGAAAATATATCTTTAAGTGATGCAAAAGTTGTTAATAAATCACATATTAATACAGTGCAAGGGATGTTTCTCAACTCTGGTTAAGCATAATAATAATTTCAATTAAATGTTAAAATAACAASAATTTTCTTAGAAATCTTGCTTTTCCTAGAACACAGTAAATAARAAAKTAATTATTTTASCAACAACTTRTGTAGCACMAGATTCTTTTTCTTTTCAAGGGACRCAAAGCACACAGGCTTAAAAAATGCCACRRAGACTAGAAATTCAATATTGAAACATGTCATTATTCTGAAATGATAGAAATATCCAAATTTGTTTAGCCCTCAAGAAAGGAGGAAGAAACTTCAGCCAAAAAGCTGCAAAATTTTCGTATCATTAAGTTACATAAAACCCAGAAAACGTTAATTAATGTTTTCCTTTGTGTTACAAGTTATGATACTGGAAACAATAAAGGAAATATTCCCCCCATAGCAGCCATGGGAAAYAATTCTCATTAAAGGCAAATTTAGAACTCTCAGCCTTATCATGTTTATTTTCCTCGCACATCTGCTGATGTGAAAGAGTTTGATTTTTTTGCATTTTCTGCCGTCTTTTGGTCAAGTTCTCCTGGATGAATTCACCCTGCTGTAGCAGGATCAAAAGCATCTGGTAAGGTGGAAGTGCAGAAAAGCTCTCAGGGAAAGGGAGCTCRGTGCCTGCACTTCAGAGCTGCCCATTATCAACATTTCGCAGTGAGCTGCTTTATTTTCAGCTCCCCGAGGTAAGAACAGTAAATTATGACTTGAACTAAACAAGTCACACTTGGCTCCAAAATCAGATTTTCCTACCTCTGCTTTCAGGTCCCAGAGGTGGGCAGAGGAAATCCTGGTCACAGCCAAAGAAGTCATTTTTGGCTCTGAAATAAATTTTCCTGCTTTGCTCGAGCCAAACTCTACCATTGAGAGTACCAGAGCTTTGAGCAATCCTTGAACATTTCTTTTATATTATTTTGTTTTAGCAACCTGATTCTTCAGCAATATGAAACCCTTTTCAATAACACAGAATCTGGGGTTTGGCTTCTCTCTTCAATCAGTTTTGTTTATAATCAGGTCCACTCTGAGACTGAATAATTTCTCCCTAACAATGACAAAGTGTTTTAGACTCTTCTCTTTGTGAAAATCAGTGAACCTAAGACGCTTAAAATGTTGAAGTGAAACTGAATTATTCTCCTGAAAGCCTCCACAGAAAATACTATAACTTACAAAAGCATGCAGTTCCTTAAGGGATCCAAACGTTCACCATTTAATACCAGGATTTGTGGCATATATTTAGCACAAACATATGGAAAAACTAAAATTGGATATTATTCATCAYGCTTGACAATGAGTTTCTTGCCCAAGATTGATGGCTGGATCCAAAATGCTACACTTCAAACGATCTAACAGAAGTTAATTAACAGTATGTTAGCATCAGATAACACATCTGTGGGATCAGACATCTCTCACTGTCACATTATTTATGTTCTCTAATATTACAGCTCGCTGCTATTCAATCGAGTTCCAAATCATAAAACATATTTAGAAAGCAGGTTGATCACAGACAAGGCATATTAGTGGAGATGAGCCAACATCAAACTGCCAACATAAAATATTGGTCTCCAAAGGTACAATTGCACAAAGCCTTCTGCTTGTGCACAGTCCTGGGAGTATTAAAGGGATTACTCACACAAGTCAAAGCTCTGTGCAGGAGTAAGGGGTTATGGAATTGAGGCTTAAGAGGGCTTTTATTAACCCAAAAAGCAGACATTCGWGTGTTTTCTCATGTACAAGCTGAGTATTTTTTAGTGATTTAAACCAATCCCWGAAGTATGTAATTCATGGATATTCCAAGGGAATTGTTAATCACTTGCATTTCCTACTTTTAAAGGAATGTCATTGTTAATCATCTTATCAGTTCCTCCTCTGGTACCTCTGCTGGGCACCTATTGCTGTGTGAGAGCAACAGATGCACCATTTTCTGTCTGTGTCACTGTGTTTGGAATTTTATGACTGCACAAAACTCAAGGTCCTCCCAAAAAGTTCCAGGGTTTACCCAGTTTTCTGCTTCACCTACAAAATCCAAAGAAACACTGTATCACAACAGCAAATGTAACTATTCTATAAACTTTAACTGTTTCATTTGGGAATTCCTTCCCTGAGGAGGAAAAGATGCTTAAACCTTCCAACTTTCTTTTATATCTCGGCTTATGTTTCTACAAAGATATTAACTTATCAGAGTTAATTTTATCATTTTATCCCTGATGCAACTCAGCTGGTAAAACAAACAGGCATTAATCCAGAATTTTGGGGATCTGATAAACATAAAGCCATGGGCAAAACAAAAGCCTGTTCAATATAATGGCATTTTAAATAAAAAGCCATTTCCTCCAGCATCCTGCAAGGAGCTCTGCCATGCAGCAGCCCTGMAAWTCTCATGCTGAGAGACTGCTGCCTGCCCTTCTCTCATCYAGAATTGATCACTGCAGAGCTTTGGGCATTCCCATCTCTAAATAGACACACTCAAACCTTGAGCTGCTTGCAATTTGGCAGCTTCTGTTTCCAGCTCTACTGAAAAATTTAGGGGTTTTCTTCAGTCTAATTAAAAAAAAYAGTTTGACAGAACAGTGATTTTTAAAATATAGTCATTTGAAATGGGCTGTACTGTCTGGGATTCTGTTCTATGAAATATCTGRTTGAACTCAAGGTAAAATCAAAACACTCTGAGCATAATTCACCCATGACACATTCTTTTCAATCTAATTTTGTATCATTTAGAAACCAAAAYCATTGACTTTCAGGAAATCGTTTGGCATTAATTGTAAAGCTCCTGTCACACAACAGACAAAGGATTTCCAAAATACCACATCAGCACATGCCCCTACAAGAGCATTTCTAACTTTAGGAACAGCASTGAGCACCCTGTGAATGGGAATGTTTCTACATTACAGTACAGTGCATTATATTTTAGCAGCACAAAAAATGTTGTGGCTGAATAAGTGCTCCAAGGAATTCTGCAAACATTGGAAGAACGTTGCACTAACACAACCTCCCTGGTCCTTGTAGGATGTGGGTTTTTCCCAGCAAGGCTGTAATTAGGCACACGCTGCAGACAACAAAGAAGCCTTTGCTTGTTCACTTAAGCTCAGAACACATCTCTCAAACCAAAGCTGAGGCAGTTTGGGCTTTCAAGTGCAAAGCTATGATTTTCTTGTTTGATTTGGCATTAGGCAGAACCAGAATCCAGCTGCTCCTGGTATTTATTTATTCTGGGATCCTTCACTTTGTTTCTTGGCTTCACAGAGGAGTCCCAAAGCTCTGGAAGGGACACACAGGACAGAGCAGTGACACTGATGGGAGCAGTGGCAGCAGCTCAGTGACCCCCTCAGTGGCACAGACCACTAGGAAGAAGCAGCATTCCAAAGCAGCCAATAATAAACCTCTATTTTCCAGTAAGTAGAAAGCCTAGAAAAATACTTTTCTATATTTATTGGCTTTCTTTTCCTTTCAGCTACGAAGTGCCTGCTCTAATGGAACATCATCTGTCTGTCAGACAAGCCCTGCTCAAGTCAAAAGGAAGGAAGTGTTGAGGTGGGCAATTRCACAGCACTGCAGCAGGATGCTGCTTTCACCACCTCCTGCAAAATACAAACAGTTTCAAATTTATTTAATTGGAGCCCTTTCAAAATGCTATTTTTACAAGGCACTTACAAGTTTTTGCCTAAAGTTATGTGAAGCTTGAATATTCAAAATAGCGCTGTGCTCAGTATCCAGGAAGAGTTTATGTTATGTCATAAATTCATGCTCCAAAATTGCAGGCGAATAAAGTAGCACAAGCTTGGAAAAGGTTTCCAGCTCCACTCTGTGCTGAAGTGGGACACAATTACACTAAAGAAGGCAATGGGATTGGGAAGGTACTGCTAGCAGTGGGACATACACTGTTCCATGTTGTTATTTTACAATATAACCCTCTTTATCTTTCCACCTGTTTTCTGCTATAAACTGCCTTATTTCAAGCAGTATTTTCCCAGCAGTTACCCCAGACCTTCCCAACCAAATGCAGGAAGTCGAGCAGTTGTCCATTTCTATACAAACAACATAAGTTTCAGTGCGTGGAAACAGGCCAGGGAAGATGGGAACACAGAAACTGCTTGGAGAATATGAAGTTAATGGGCATTTTAACAAAGCAACAACTTTCACCAACCATGTCAGACAAAAATGAACACCCACCATGATGTTTGTTTACTTAGAGTGACAGAAATGAGGCTACAAGATACCCTGTGCTGCTCCTCCTCTTACCTGTTTACAAAGTAACTCAGAGAATTCCAGTGGGATGGAGAGAATTGCAAAAGTAAACATAGAGGGAAAATACTTTGTGTGTATGCAGTGTGTGAAAGATGATATAAAAATCGAGCACAGCTCTGAAGTGATGTCCTACCTGAAGGTCCTTCATGTTTGGAAAGGAGAGAATTGCAAAAGTAAACACAGAGGAAAAATGTTTTGTGTATATGCAGTGTGTGAAAGATGATATAAAAATCGAGCACAGCTCTGAAGTGATGTCCTACCTGAAGGTCCTTCACRTTTGGAAAGGGGATTCCAATGGTCACAACTGCCCTGGCATTCTCATCACAGAAATCCAGCCCCTCACTGACCTTCCCTCGGCACACAGCAATCAGGAGAGCTCCGTCTGGGACAGCAGGGGAACACACATTACCACAGGGAGAAGCTGAGAGCAGAAAAAAACTTCCACCAAAATGTTTTTTCAAGAGATAAACATCGTACAGGATAATAGACTGCCTGGAGAATGGGAGTGGTTATAAAATAGAGACTTGTTATAGAGTGAGATGAACTCCATTAGATCAATAATATTGTGATTTTGACCATCAAYTAACAAAAGAATTTTCCACTGTATAATACAGTGGCAATTAATAATGCAACAATGAATATCTGCAACAAAACATGGAATGTTAAACTTTGAATTATACTTGAAGAATCTCTATCAACTATTTCGAATGTCTGAAAATGTACCTTTTTCTCCTTTACATTTGATTGCATCATAGTAGATATTGAGCAGCTCGTCAAAGTCACTCTTGGCCCCTCCCTGGGGCTCTGCAATGACTGTTTTCACATTCTCCAGGTTTCTCCACAAGCCAGTGTGCATCCAGCGATCCTTTAATTTGTCCAGCATCTGAAAAACAACAGAAAACYCCACAGATGCTTGCAGATTCTGTGCTCTTAATTTGTTTGAACTTCCCTCCACTCCCCTCCTGAAGAGTTTTCCACATTTTGCTCCAGGCTACAGAAACTGCTCCATTTGGAAGCTGCACTTGCCCTGGTTCAATTCTCCAAAAGCCACAGCACCCCTTCACTCCAGCCCACTTGTTTCCAGCACACTCCAGCCAAGATCTCAGGCTCTTGAATGGGCAATTGTTACCAAAATAATCTGTCCCGTGTCCAAACACACAGTTTAAGTGCTACTGTGAAGCAGAACTAATGACAACTAATTATTGTCACATTTGAAAATTTATAGGAAACTGCTCACAAGGCCCCTTGCATTTTTCATGTCCTCAGCGTTAAGGATCTGAACTCGTTCTCTGACATGAAGAATTTGGATGGGTTCCCTACAAGAGGGACAAATGCTAGGGTATTCTGCATTTTTCCTGCTTTGTCCCAGCTTCTGCTCAGGGAATTACTCTTGCTTTACTACTGATGTGACAGCATTAGYAAGCGAGCACAGAGAGAGTAAGTAATGAGTAGCAGGAGCAGTTTCCTGCTGTAACTGCAGAATAAATCATGTCTGCTAAATGTGTCTGTGCTGCTGTTTGTCCCCTTCCCTCCCAGCTCWGTCCTTTCCTGGCAGCAGCCTGTCWGTAATCTCTTTTTCTAGAAAGGCTGTAATGCTGTGACTGAGCAATGAGCGTCCATCTTGCCATCCCAGCCTGCCACTGGGGCCTCAGTTCTTGGATGTGATGGGGAGATAATTCTGGGAAAGCCAAGAATTGAATGYATTACAGCTCTGAGTACATCCATTTGGGATCTGCAGGGTTTGTAATGTTATTATCCTGTGGGAGTGGGCTCTGCCTGGGCCCTGCTCAGCAATCCCTGCTGGGCTGGCTCCTGGCACTGCCAGCCATGCCAAGGGAGCCCAGGAGGAGAGCACAGGCAGCAAATACTGGGAGAGCTGAATTTTACACTCAYATTCATAAACCATCCATGCTTTGACTTCGAAGTGCCATCACCCTCGATTTTCCTCTCTCCTCTCATTCCACCCAGTGGTATTTCTCACCAACACACCCCCATGAAAGGTTCTTGCTAGAAGGACAAGATTCCTCACAAAAAAAAATTCCTTAATCTCTCAATTCCAATGTATTTCTCTCTTATTTGAAAGAAGTTAAACTTCCATTCCTAATAGCAAAGATGGCAGAAGAAAACCTTCCTCCAAGTTCTTAAAAAAACCATCTTTTCTCCTTTTTTCTTGGGGTTATCCTGCCCCCCAGGCAAGTATCTCTTGGACCACAATGGCTTCAGATTTCCTCTTTAATTGACAGCAACCATCACAACAAAAATCTGTGGTTTTTGATGGAAATACGGGAATTATTCATGAAACCTTTGGCAAGAATGGAACAATTCATTTAATTCACACAACAGCTATTACCTCTTCCATTAATGGAGTTTGCTAGATATAGAAACTTTCCTCGTATTCACAAAAACACAGGACCCATGGAATGGACAGACATTAAAACAACAAGAATTATGGACCTGACTGAATACAAATAAATAAAATATAGAACACACACATGCCTCGGAAGAGCCTCGAACCAAAAGCAGGTTTCTCATAAAAAATTATTTCACTTTGGGTTGGAAAAGTGCAAATGGGAGCAAGATCTAATGCCAGGAATCACAGGAAGGAACCATTAATGCCCCCAGCCAGTCACTCCTYCTACCCAAGGGAATAATAGCTCCTGCACTGGAAGGCAGGCTGCGTATATTTTATTAAATCCCTTAAAAATGGATTCTCAAATGGTTTATTAACAAATGGTCTTCCTCCAGGAGAGCAGAAAATCTTGTTAGAAAGAATCTGTCATCTTCTCATGCACTGAAGGATGTTTACTTGGCTGGCTTTTCCTTTTTATTCCTTTCTGCAATTTCAAGCCACCTGTAAGCCATGATCCACAAAAACTGGGAGTTCAGGGTTTGGATTTACCATCCCTCTAGGCCAGCATCCCTTTTTAAGCAGTTTTTGAGGTATCCTTGAAGTTTGGGAATGGGGGGAGCTGTTTTCTCACCACCTCTTTCCATCATGCTGCACTCCAAGGCAAAACCCTCCCATGGGTGCCCACAGAGGAGCAGCTTTGCCCCTTTTCCATTTGCTGCTTCATTTTATACAGTGCCAAAAACAACATTAGGGGGCTCCCAGGTYATGAAGCAAACCCAAAGATTTGTTTAATGTGTTTTACCCTAMGGCAAGTGGATTGTAATTTCCAGCACAGGATCAAACCTGAGGAGTTGGAGCACTCAGGTTGCTGGGGATGTGTTTTTCCTGCAGGATCTGTAACCTCCTGACAGGGAGTTGAGGAGTAGAAGGGGGAAGGTCTAACAGAAAAAATTCTGGCTTATTTTAGCTCTTGTCCSGCTAATTTCTTTGCATAAAATATTCCTTTAATATTTTAGCATTGATTCACATCATTAATGGATCACACTTCGTGAGCAGAGGAAAAAGGTGTCACAGGAATAATCCATTAAAAAGTGCTCGGGGAAGCAACAAAACACCTAAAAATAGCCAAGGATGCCCCAGAGCAGCACAGGACAAAAAGGATAATGACCAAAGCAGCACCTGAGAGCAGAGGAAAAGAACCCTGATTTTAATGGATAGTTTAACAACTCTGAACTAGTTAATAATTATCAGTTGCAGTTTTATTGTGGTTTTGGGCACCTGTAAAATGATAAGCTGTATCCCCTGCATTTATACAATAACTGCACAAAAGGTATTTCAAGGTGAACAGAACTTATTCAAACATCTCGTGACCCTCTTAAAAATCTGTCCTTATACACTGAAATAACCCCACTTCTCCAAACTTTGCTGTTTTTTCATCTTGAGCTCTATGCAATGATAGGGAGTTGCACTTTTCATTGTTATTCAAATATTCAGGTAGTTGGGGGGGRAAAGGGAAGAGCCATTAGGTTTTTCTTAATAAAAATCCCAGTATTGGCACCACTGTCAGTGCAAAAAGTCAGAGCTTCCCCAGGGACTACCATTGATCTAAAAGGCTTTTCCCAAGCAGAGCTCTTGCTGTGTTTGCTCCCAGGATTTTCTTTGTGAATAAGCACAGCTTCAAATCAAAGTGTGTCTCCAGTGGGCTGGAAATGTGTTTGAAGGGTCAAACTGAAGTTCCACAGGCAGGCAGCACAAAACTTCAGCGATGGGAACGGGAGCTGTGGCCAATGGGAGCTGGGATACTCCAGGAGAACTTGGTTCTGGAGAACCAGCAGGGCCCTGCTGCACCTGGGAATGGAAGGGAGTGACTGGGACTGAAATGGAGCCACTGGGACTGAAAGGGAGCCACTGGGACTGAAAGGGAGCCACTGGGACTGAAAGGGAGTGACTGGGACTAAAATGGAGTGACTGGGACTGAAAGGGAGCCACTGGGACTGAAAAGGAGTGACTGGGACTAAAATGGAGTGACTGGGACTGAAAGGGAGCCACTGGGGCTGAAAAGGAGTGACTGGGGTTGAAAGGGAGCCACTGGAACTCAAAGGGAGCCACTGGGATTCAAGGGGAGCCCCTGGGACTGAAAGAGAGCCACTGGGTTGAAAGGGAGCCACTGGGTTGAAAGGGAGCCACTGGAACTCAAAGGGAGCCACTGGAACTCAAAGGGCTCTCACCCAACTCATCAGTGCCACAGAGACTCCCAGTGCTGCTCCAACCATTGCTCTGCAAGGTTTGGAACTCAACAGAAAAATAACATGTGGCAAAACCAAAGAAGAGGCTTTTTTAAAAACTCTGCATTTACTGAAAGCCCTTAAATTCAGAGAGACTGTCCAGAAGAAATGCAGTTCCCTTGTTTTACTACAAAATGTTTCCCTCCACTTGGGCTGTCTGCAAAAAAAAAAAACCAAGTGCAGGTTGTTTTGTATCACAGAAAAACCCAACCTCCATCTGCATMAGCTGCCTCCTCTCTCCCTTTAAGCAAAAATAAATATAAAATTCTTTTAAAACCCCTATCCACTCTGACAGGTCCTTCTGCAGGTTTAAGCTGTTAGGCTGCAGGACATCATATTTTCCACTCAAGTAATCCTGTGATGATCTCGAGGCCCAGATGTTTTTCTAATGGCTCTAATTCCAGAGGTATTGCATTGCCTTTAATACCCTTCCAGCAGGATATTTGCTGAGTCAGCTGCTTTACCTCCAGCTGGAAGGTTTTGTTCCAATCCCTCTTGCTCTGGTCTCAGGAGAATTACCTGGATGAATGTTCTGCTTCCATTATGAGAGGATGGAACTGTCCCTATAGTRGTGATAATCCTAAAACATCTTCAGTCATTAAATCAAGGCTTTGCTTAAACAGAGTGGCCTTCAATTCCTGTTATTTCAGAGGAACTTCAGTCACTTTTTTGGCATTATGAGTTCCTATTAAAATAATTTCCTCAAGGATTAAGATGGTTTGAACAAATAGAGAATTAGCAGAAATTATCTGGCAGTTTTTGAACTAAAAGCTTTGCCAAAATTTGGTACCAAWTGATCCAGAATCCTACAGACAATTGAGCTACAGGAATATTGGAACTCTTAGAGAAAACAAGACCTTACAGAGCCAGTGTGGGGCTTTAGGATCAGTAATTTATTGCATTTTAATCTTTAAAAAAAACCAAACAAAAGCCACCAACAGCAATGACAAAAAAAAAAAAAGTCCTTTGAGGTTAAAAGTGAACAGAAAGGAAACAACAGAAGGAAGAAAGAAAATAGGAATGAAATAGGAATAAAAGATTGAAGGGACAAGAACAAACTGCTTGGAAGGATTGGTGTGAAAGGAAAACTCAGTTTCCTTCCAAAAATAGGAGGGAAAATATTTGGGCTAACTAACCAATAAAATCTAATGTCCATCATCCCAACCTKTCAAATCAATTTGGAACAGCACCCTAGAACTATTAAAAATAACCCCATAAAAAGCACAGTGTCCCTTAACAAGAGTAAAA